ACTATAACGCATGGATTTTGTTGTTTTCTGTTAGTTTCATCTCTTCAAAACACTTTCTTCTGATCAAATATTTTAAAAGTTAAAATTATCTACAATTGATTGAAATACACTAAATATATAAAAATCCTGAAGTCAGTGATACTTTTTCTAAAAGCTGCCAAAAACCTTGACATTACTTCTATACACAACATGCACTGAAATTCAGTGTAGTATAAAATTAAGTAATTATCCTGCATTCAAAAAAAAAATCTATTTCATGGTAAACAAATAACCTACATTAAGAAGGCAAAGCTATTTCCTAAATAAAAGTGCAAGCAAATAAAAAAGGAATAAAGAAGCTAAAACTGGTCTCATTTTAAGATGCAAGCTTCAGTATTACAGAAGTAGCTCTGCAGGTTGCATATCACTGAACTATACACTTCCAAATGGTTAAGACTGCAAAATGTGTGTCTATTTTACTAGTTTCTTTAAAAGTCTTACTTGTTAATCATTTTGCTATTCTCAGATAAGCTAAGTCAGATAAGAATGCTGATGGGGAATTAAATATTTGTATGCTGCAAAAGTCTCACTCCTTCCAGCATCTATGCTCTAGCATCAAAAGGGAAATTCTAACTTCACAATGGGAAGATCTACTTTCACTTTCATCAATCCTAGCTTTACTAACAAGGTCACTATGTTTCTTGATAAATTGCAGTTAATTACTACTGCTCCAAAAGAAACTTTATTAGTAATCTAAGCAAGCCTTTAGATCTAAATGTTCTTCACAGAAAACGCAAAGTATAGAATAGACATAAAAAGTTAAATACCACTCTATGGAAGTAGTCAAATCCAGAAAAAAAGTTCTAGAAAATACTGGGCTACATCTTATATTTCTCTAAGAGAGTTATGTCAATAAAACAAAGAATAAAGAGGGGAGGGTGGAGGGCTATTTTAGATTATAAGGCTTAAGTGACATAATCATCACGAAATGCAGTCAGTGCTCCTTGGCAGGATCCCAGTTTGATAAACACACTATAGAAGCTGCCATGGGGATGACTGGAGAGATATTAATGCAGCACAGATTAGATAATATTACACAACTACTGCCAACTAACTGTAACCAAAAAATTAAGGGTAAAAGGACGTAAGTTCTATAAATAGCTTTACGTGACCTTAGGAAAGAACTATGAGAACGAATTGTAACAAAGTCATGTATATGGGCAATGATAATCAGTGGCTGCTAAAAATCATTAGTCTGAATAACTGATCAATCAGCATGAAATACTCAAGCCCAATAATCAGTCCTCACCCCAAAAGGACAGCAAGCCACCTGTCTCTTGATGAGAGGCAATAGGAGATAACCACGGCAACTAGGAAGGAACCCACCTCTGCCATCCCTCTCACCTAAAACCCACCGACTGTGGCAAAGTCTCACACATACCTACAGAACTATACTAAATGCTTCTACAAGGACACAATCAACAAAACCCAGACCATGGGAAAATCTACAGGACAAACTACAATTTCCTAACAAAAATTAGACAAAAAAGGACAAACCACTCAAGATATTTAAGAGATATCTCGGCCTGGGAGATACCACAGCAGTTAAAATTCTCGCCTTGAACACACCAGGATCCCATATGGGTGCCGGTTCTAATCCCAGAGACTCCATCTCCCATCCAGCTCCCTACTTGTGGCCTGGGAAAACAGTTGAAGATGGCCCAAAGCCTTGGGACCCTGCACCCACATGGGAAACCCAAGAAGAGGCTCCTGGCTTCTGGCTTCAGACACTCAGTTTCAGCCATTGTGGCCACTTGGGAAGTGAATCAACAGATGGAAGATTTTCCTCTGTTTATCTGCGTTTCCACTAAAAATAAATAAATCTTTTAAGAAAGAGAGAGAGATCAATCAACCAAATGAAACAAATCTTATTTAAATCCCCACTAGAAAACATTTATGAAACAGGTGGAAAAAAAAACTCATTGAATATTTAATATTAAGGAAACATTAATTTTTTTAAGCATGTTAATGTTGTAACTTTGACTGTCTTTCGAAAAGTGCTTACCAACTATGGATACATAAAAGTATAAATGAAGAAAAAACTGTATGGGATTTGCTTTAAAAAAAAAATCTAGCATTGCTTCTCGGCCTTTTGGCTAAGATCAAGTGTAAAAAACAATCTAGCAAGGATAGGGCAGGAGAGCTATGAGTTTAGAAAGTACTCAAAGAAACAACACTGACCATATGTTGGTAATAACTGGAAGATGGGTACATGAAGGTTTGTTATTCTACTACAAGCTCGTACATGCTCCCATTAACAAAATATAGTAAGACCACAAATAAATCCTAATCACAGATCTCATATCACAGAATATTCATCACCGATCACCTAACAACATAAGCACCATGAAAGTCAAGAAAATCAAGAGCTGGCAAAGGATTTACCAATATTGACAAAGGAAAAAGAAAGCAATATAATACCTACATCATAAGCCCAGTAACTAATGAAAAACGGAAGAGTTCAGTGAACACTAGTGTAACCTCAGCCTGTCTCTCGGAAAGCACACCAAACACAAAAGCCTGGGTGGTGAGGAAATACACTGTCTACATTTGAAATTTTCCATTAAAAAATTTTTAAATATCCTTCAGAGGTTTGTTGCAGAACACACTATATTTCCCATGTATGATAGTTGCTTTCTGACTAGTTTTTTTCCCCATTTTAATCCTTCTACTTCCAACTGCCAAGGAAGGGGGGTGATGGGAGAATAATTACTATACTAATAGAAAGATCCTGGCATACCGAGTGGAAAATTTAAGCAACTGAAATGTCTCCATTATTTTGCTAGAAAAATCAAGACTGATTTAATACTAAAAACTTTGCTTATGATCCATAGAAATTAATAAGGCAGCTGCCTTTTTTTTTTTAGACATGAAGTTGGACTAGAAACTTTTGCATAGTATTTGGATAAAGTGTTTGCAGAGATTATCTTCCTTAATTTCAAAGTGACTCCATCTGTTTTTATGGAGAATTTGGTTTAAGTTCATTTCAGAAAATGAAGAACAAAGAAACCCAAACATCCTTACAATTAGCTTTAACACTCCTTGAATGATTTTAAGGAATAAGTAGACAAAGTATTCTTCTTAACAGGGCAAAAAAAAATTGGGGGCAGGTGTTTGTCCTAGCAGTTAAGACATCGATTGGGTTCTCAGCATTGCATGGGTACTGGGTTAGGGTTCCAGCTCTGCTTCCTGATGCCAGGTGACTGCTAATGCACACCCTGTGGGGAAGCAGATGACAGTCCCTGCCAACCACACAGGAGATCTGTAATGGGTTGCCTCTTTTCAGCTTCATTTAGGCTCAAACCCAGTCACTATGGTCATTAGTAGAGTAAACCAATGGATGGCAGTCCTGTCTCTCCTTTTCTCTCTGCATCTTGGATGGATGGATGGATAGATGGATGGATGGATGGATGGATGGATGGATGGATGGATGGATGGATGGAGATGAATGTAACCCATCTATGCCTATCTATGCATTGCAGCACAGCAGGTTAAGCAATCAGCCACGGAACAAAGATCTTTCTCACTATCACCTTCTCCCTCTGTAACTTGACCTTGCAATTGAAAATAAATCAATCTTAAAAAAAAAATACAATCCATGGTGAGTTATACAATTAGTGGATAGTTGACTGGAAATAATTACTAAGAAGAAACCAAGGCACAATGCATTAAGAACTAAGAATTAACCACATATACAAATATTCTTACATACATCCACATTCATACTGAACAAAGGGTCCAGATGTGAAATTTGGGGCCAGTGCCATGGCATGGCATGTTAAGCCTCAACCTTAAACACTGACATCTCATCATGGGTACCAGTTTAAAACCCAGTGCTCTAGTTCCAATCCAGCTCCCTGTTAATATGCCTGGGAAGGCAGCAGATGTCGGCAAAACTGCTTGGGCGCCTATACCTGCATGAGAGATCCAAAAGAGTCTCCAAGCTCCTGGCTTCTGCATGGCCCAGCCCCGCCCTTTGCAACCATTTAAGGAGTGAACCAGTAGATAAAAGATAGCTCTCTCTCAGGCTCTCACTCTCTTACTCTGTCTTGAAAAAACAAATAAATATGGTATATAAATATTCTAAACCAATGCAAAATTATAGATTATAACATTTCTAATATTCATCTAAAAACTCTGAGATACTAGAAGAAATTTCTCTAAGTCACATAAGGATCCAGAGTTCTAGAGACAGATTTGAATAACCATTTTATGACAATAGGTAAAGTCTCAGTTGACACAAAATCAGAGCTAAGAGTCAAAGGAAGACAGAACCCAAGAAACAAGAAAACCGAAGGAATGATCAGAAGGAAGCTAGCAAAGAACAGAATGATGTTTGTCGGGAGAGAAATGCAAACACATTATGGTTGATCAAAAATGTTAAACACTAGACAGGGAAAATCAGATCCAATACATTTAACCTCTAGAACACCAATTACTTAGAAAAGGGTCAGGCTCAGTGGAGTGGTTATACCAAAAGAAATGAGGCTTGTACTAAGGAATAAAAGACATCACTACTTTTTAATAAAGTTTCACACTGAAAAGAAGGCACAGACTGTTTCAGAAGTCCTATCGTTATCATGTCAACTTACACTGGAGTTTTTTTGAGGAACCTGTATTCAGGTGGACTACTGAGTCATAACAAACTTACTTTAGCCCATATTGCAGCTAACAAGACAATCTGTATATAGCTTCTGTGAAATCTGAGAAACCACCCGTGGCTGTCAACAAGCAACAACCACAATCCTACCTCTATTGAACAGTCTTCCAAAGATGCTAGAAAGGATCAAAAAATGTATCAAATGCCTCCCAAAATTCTGTTTTTCCTGCAACAAAGGGCATTTATATCTCTCTCTCCACAAACAGACAAATGAAGCACACAGACATCTTATATGATTTAGGATGTATGTCAAGACATCTGAGTCACATAAGGGAAAATACAAAAGCAGCACACGACTTACCCAATACACCTAGAAATTAGTAGACTGGGCCTAGGGCTTGACACTTGAACATTTTCTTCCTACCCTCTGTTCCTTTCAGAAAAAAAAAAAAAAAAGTGAGGGGAGAGGAAAATAGTTATTAGGTGCCTGAGTTGTTAAAATCCCAATTGCTACAAACTTAAGACAAACTCCTGTGGAAGTCTATGCTATACAGTCACTTCCAGTGTCTTAGCTGGAGACAGTAGAGACCATTCCACAGCACTCTGGACTACTGATTTCAACAATGCCTTAGGGATTTCAAACATTCCAGATGGACTCAACATTCCGTCTTTCATAAAAAGGTGGGAGGTAGGTAGAACCACAGGCCTTTGACGTGGCCGTTAGGACACTTGGGATGCCCAAAGACCATGGCAGAGTGCCTGGATTTCAGTGACTGTCAATTCCACTTCCCACTGGAGTATCCTGGTAATGTGCATCTTAGGAGGAAACAGGTGACAGGTCCCTACCTCCCACAGGAGAGACCCTAGCTGAGCTCCTGGCTTCCTCCTCACCCAGTCCCAGATGTCACCAGCATTTGGAAACTGACCCAGAAGACACAATCTGTCTTTCTCTCTATTTCCATCTCTATCTCTCACAAGTAAAAGTAACTTTTAATATGTTAAAAACTGAAGGAAAACAAAAACAGATATTAGCAATCACCACCTTATTTATTCTACATGTTTCTTCCATTTTTCCCCTTTTTAATTAAAACCTGCAAAGGAACATGAATAGAATCTCATTAACTGCTTAAGTTTCTGAATGAAAACTACCCACCATGATCAAATTATCCCCTAATACAATAGAGTAGTATTGGCTCTGGTTCAAGGCACTTACCTCTGGGAATGGAGAACACAACAGAAAGAATGTTTCAAGTTTACAGATTCTTAGGGATAATATAGGACAGTAGACATGACTATAGGCCCTGGAGCCAGATTGTCTAGGTTCAAACCTGTGCTCTGCCATTAATTAGCTGAGTGACAGATCTTAAGCAAGTTACTTAAGCTTGGAGTGCTTCAGTTTCCTTTTAGGAAATCACAATTATACTACCTAACATAACAGATTATCATGATTAAATAAATGAATATAAAACTGTACATCAATGTCTAATAAACATTTGGTATTCAAGAACTGATAGTTTAATTTGTTTTTATAATCCAATATATTCATGTCTTTATTTTATATTTTAATTAGTACTTAAAATTAAAATATATTTTATGTAAACTATTTACTATATTAAAATCCTGCCTGTTAAGAAAAGCACTGCAAATGGTGATTATCAGAAGTAACGATCATACCAACAGTTTACATAAAGATTTCTAAACTGGCAGATGATCAGTGTTTAAGTACGTACTTTCCCCTCCATACTGCCAGACTCAATCACACACGGCAAATTCCTTTGCTTTAAAAATAACTGTATAGTCTCAGTAAAATTCAGTTGGCTAAAGAAGTATTTCATTTGGTTGATTTCCAAGATATTGCCACTAAACCATACTAAGGAGAGGCAATGAGGAAAGAAAAGAACAAAATTGGGCCCACACGATGGCGCAGTGGTTAAAGGTCCTCGCCTTGCACACCCGGGATCCCATATGGGCGCCGGTTCTATCCCGGCAGCCCCGCTTCCCATCCAGCTCCCTGCCTGTAGCCTGAGAAAGCAGTCCAGGACGGCCCAAAGCTTTGGGACCCTGCACCCGCATGGGAGACCCAGAAGAGGCTCCTGGTCCGGACATGCATAGCATCGGCTGTTGTGGTCACTTGGGGAGTGAATCATCGGATGGAAAATCTTCCTCTCTGTCTCTTCTCTCTGTATATCTGCCTTTCCAATAAAAATAAAATAAATCTTTAAAAAAAAAAAAAGAAAAGAACAAAATCAGAAAACATAGTATAAACAGGCAGAAGCACAGGAAAAGAACTATGCAACTTAACATTACCTTGAAAACACTAGAATTTAAAAATTAATTCAAATTTGGCTTTTTATAGCTTTAGACTCTTTTGTCAGGATTTTTTAACTTAACACCATTCACTAAAGCACAATGCTGCAGTTAGGTGAAACTATTTTCAGTGACCAAAACAATACACAGATACTTATTCTAAAATGTCAACAACTGAACACAAATGAACAACTTTCTATTATTCCACCAACTCAGTAATGAACATAAGTTTTACTCTGGAGACCCACAATATATGGCAAAAGGGGATGGGGGCTCTCATAATTAAAATCATATGTCCAAATTAAATCAAAGAAAAAGTAATTTTTAAAAAAATATGTCCAAAAATTATACCAAAATCATGTGGGTATGGAGTTGAGATAAGCTATAGAAGAAAAATGAAGATGAAACAAACCTGGTCACATGCTAGTAACTGTTGAAACGAGGTAAGAGCATACAAGATCACTTACGCTATTCCTCTCTCGGCTAAAGAAAATACTTAGTCTTTCTAAATTTTTTATCATGGGAAATGTAAACACTTTTCTATAACTGCTAATAGTACATTCTTTCTTCCCAAAAGAAACCACTTTGACAACTAGACACAGTAAAACATTAGTTAAAATGTTTAGCCAGAAAGAAGTCTTTAAAATGAGCCATGTCGGGCCCGGCACGGTGGCGCAAGTGGTTAAAGGTCCTCGCCTTGCACGCCCGGGATCCCATATGGGCGCCGGTTCTAATCCCAGCAGCCCCGCTTCCCTTCCAGCTCCCTGCCTGTGGCCTGGGAAAGCAGTCGAGGACGGCCCAAAGCTTTGGGACCCTGCACCCGCGTGGGAGACCCGGAAGAGGCTCCTGGCTTCAGATCGCCATAGTATCGGCCCGTTGCGCTCACTTGGGGAGTGAATCATCGGACGGAAGATCTTCCTCTCTGTCTCTCCTCTGTGTATATCCGCCTTTCCAATGAAAAAATAATAAAAAAAATAAATCATTTAAAATGAGCCATGTTATCCTGCAGTACTGCTGTATGTGTAGTGTAGCACACAACAAGTAACACAAACACAACAAATCTATGTAGAATGTTCTAGAATGCTCCCACAGTACTGAGGACAAAAGTGAACTGTGTCACTTAGATGGAAGCTGCATCCGTACTACATATGCAACCCACATCCACAGCTCTATAGTGCAGAGCTGCAAAAGGTAAGAGTATCTTCAACACACCTTTATTTTTCTGTTTGCAGTGGGGAAAGTAAGGGAAGCATGAATGTGTTCCCATTCCCATATGTGTGTAATTCAAAACAGACAATCTGAGCATTAAGGAAATTAAAACGCAGGCTTTGCTGATGTTGATTTTAATGGCCAAGTTCCAAAAACAGTTCTTTTTCAAGCTTCTAGATAAACTCTTGATTCCTTTGTCAGTGGACAGACTGAACTCATTACTTGACACTCTAACCTTTCCCACACACAATTTCTGTTCACTTCATTAAAGAGAAAAGTTTCCTTTTTCTCCTTAGGAGACACGGATTAAAGAAAAAATTTCAAGGGTTTTTCTGCCAGAGTCTCGAAGCAATTAAACATGAAGTATGAGAAAAAGTAAAAGATTATCATAATAAAATGGGCTCCAAAAGCAAAGGTTGAATATGAGCCATTGTCTGGCACATAACCACTGCCACATTTGCTTTTCAAATACTTGTGAAAGCATTTGGCATCATTTTCCAATAATCCCATAGGGCTTCTACTTCCTTTCTTCAATAGCATTTCAAAATGCTGACACATTTATTAAACTATTGTTGGTACACTCAGCTCTGTCTACCTTCAGGGCTCAAGATACGAATATATAAAAGTTACAGGACATCCTTTTAGCTATAAAACTTGGCAAGATTTCTGAATTCTCCAAGAAAGCTTCAATTGGCAACTCCATTAACAGCCAAAGAGCACAATGCGGAAGAAAAAACTCCGGACACAGGCTTCTCTGGCTATGCCTGAAGCTCCACTACTCAACTGCTGAATGGCCTTAGGACATGGAATCACTCCTTCATCTGTAAGATCCAGGGCATGCAATTGCTTTAAAAGTCAGCCGTGGAATTGTTGATAAGTTACTTTTGAAAGAAAAAAAAATTAAGCATTAAAAACAGTATTTTTAAAAATTAATAAAAAGAAAACCTGAGACTATGCCACACTCAGCAGCTTTATGTTGTTCAATAAAAAAAGTGTATAAGCACCATAATTCATGAAATCGTACTTTGAACTCACAAATTTTTCATTTAGCTATCACATATCAATTTTATAATTTTTGCCAAATGTACAATCACTAAGGATTATTTATTTAACATATAATTTTAAATTTGTTTTAAAAATTATTTTTGGTGGGGGTTATTGTGGGTCGCTCTGACTAGGCTGCAGCCCCCACTGGTTTATGTGAGGGCCAAGTGTGTGCAGGGCAGAACCAGGCTGGACTGCAACACCCATTGGCTCCAGAGGAAGTCGGGGCTGGAAACAGAACCAACCCAGTAATTGCAACCACCAGCTGATTGGGGTGATGGACTGTGCCAGGCCCTGTGCTTGCTACTTCATACAAGAATCTGGTTTGAGAACACCTCAGACAAAGTCTCTTTGGAGATCTCCCCAATTGAAATGCCGGACTCAGAACCCTAAGCAAGAAAAGACAGAAGACAGAACAAGTCAATCAACCACCTCAGCCATATGTTAGCAGTGAAAAACTGCACAAATGGAGACTCTATGATGGACTATGTCAATCTGTGCATTCTTCAACGACCTCATCCTGCTTGGAGTGGTGAGACTGGCAGCGATTCATAACTGGTGAACTATCAAAACCACCTGAGCAAGTATCTCAGAGCATGCCCCACATCCAGGACTTGTGGTGGGTGGGAAGCTGGGTGGGGCTTTTCCCTCAATATCCCCCCTTTACCTCAGATACATGAAGGAAACAATATGGAAATAATAGCCTTACCCACTTTCCTATAGCCCTTGAACCTTTTTACCCTAATTAACTATGTAAAGATTGTCAAAATAAAATTTTTTAAAAATAATTTTCATTTCATGCTAAGTAACATCAATGAAATAATAGTTTTCAAGTACTTGTATATTCTTCTGATGCACAATGAAAAACATTAG